CTAGCATGCCTTCACTATTACAATTTTTACCGTGTTTATTTAGATAGTGGGGTGTGCTCCTTTGAGCGACATGACACCTTCACAATCCAACTGTCGTTCTCACCACCCCCCTTCGTCCTTTTTCAGGGAATGATGATCAGAGTCTGCTTTATTATTATGCAGTCCTCTTTCCTAGTCTTATCCCAGTCTCTCTCTCTTGCTCCGTAAAATCCGTCTGCTCTACCCCTTGTTCACCTATTTCACTCGACTCGTGCCACCACATCTGTCCTACTCGAGGCGTTATTCGCCCTCCCTTGCGTCTGGGTGACTAATTCGAGGCGCAAGCCTCTGAGTGTCATGGTCACCCCTTTGCTATATATACCACGTTATTAAGGGACTGCTTGAAACCTAGTTTTTCTAAATAACTATTTATACACTTTCCATTATAGAGCTCCTAAAGATCGAGAGAACACAGGCCGAGCTCTTTTTTTCTGAGACTAATAGTACCATGGACACATTTAATTGAAAATAATAAGTAAGTTTATAGTAGCATAGTCCAAATCACTTACGGAATCCAAGAGCAGTCGAGCGCTTAATTCCAACTCGTTGTGTATAATCAAGTTCTTTGCAATACCGGGCCAATTCCTTTTCTTCTCCACCGAAGGAAAAAACAGTTCTTAGTGATTTAAGTACCTCAAATGATATAGCGCTTGCTTTGTTATATGCTTCGTTTTGTTTTCCATGAAAATACTTTAGTATAAAGGCAACTGATGCAAAAGACAATGTGACAAATGGTAGCATGCTGCATGTGACTAAACTAAGCTTCCAGCCTTTGACAAAACTGATTATAACTCCAGCGATGAAGATGCTCACATAACGAATAAATGCTCCAACATTTTCCCCTATTCCGAAGGCGATACTTTCGATACTGTCAGAAAGATTGTTAATCGAAGACCCTGCATCTTGTCCATCAAACCACGTAACATCTTGCCGAAGAATTGCCTCAAAAATAGAAAAATTGTAAAATTGAGTGATAAAATCCTTCAATTATAATAGGCAATAAATAAAAATTTATGCATAAACATTGTTCAGTGAAAAATAAAGATCTCTTATGTTTATAGATGAATAACTAACCAATTAGGCTGTATAGCTATTTTTGCAAAATGTTTATAAGAATATCATTAAATAACTAACATGTTTATATGATTTTATAAGACTGTATTTAACTGGTCCAATAAACGTTAAATCTGAATGTTTAGCAAAAAGATATTCCTAGTTGGAACAAATAGTTTAAATGTGGAAAGCCATATTAAGTAGACGACTATCGAAGAGGAGCTGCTTGGATATTTATTAGAGTTTTAGTGGGATTGAAAATACTTCCAATTTTCCCCAGGTTGCATAGCTTGAAAATGTGGAATATATTTCTAATAAAGTATCCTCCCTATAAAATAATTTTACAAGCTTCTCGATAAACTAGTATATATTTTGGGGCACAATGCGTAAAATTCACGAGAAATTATATGTGCTAGCATGCTATTTGAATTTATGAAATATTCCAAATTAGAAAGAATTATTTTAAATCAGCTTAAATAATATTTTGTTAGCTCAAAGACTTGCTTAAAGAGATGACAGTAAAGAATAAAGTGTTCATAAATACAAACAATTTTTTGAAAAAATATTAGAATCGTAGTGTTTTGATAAGTGAACTATTCAACCTTATTTGCATTATCAAATCGAGCTCTATAACAAAAATTCCGCATATAAATTTTAAGACAAAATATTACAGTTATAAGCAGCTTTCAAGGCCCAAAGATAAAGTCAAGGGTTAGTAGTAAAGTCACTAAGCAAGGTTTTATCAAGTAAGTAGTAAACATTAAGAGCTTTTTCAATAAAATAATTGTTAAAAGTCAACCAAAAGAGAGAGAAATCTAATGAGCAGGGATTGGAGTAGAGTTCGCGATAACTTTGCCTACTGCTTACGCAAACTCGGGGAAAACAAGAATAAAGCAAGACCAGCAAAAAGGAGACGACTAGATCAAGGATATATCGCTAACCAGAGGAAAAGGGATTGCGATGAGGAAACTGGGGGGCGGGGAGTTTCGGCAAGTAAGCGAAGACGTTGTCAGTAAGTGATGTCCGTTTCAAATAAACCAGTACAACTTTGGGAGCCTGGAAGTCAGAGAGCTAGGCGGACGAATGAGCAAACCGTCACAGAAATTCGACGTTATGGCCAAAATGTAGTAGAAATCCACTTGAGAATTAGCATGCGAACAGATATAGGTGTCCACAGTTTGCTCAGGTTACACGGGTTTAATCAAAGAGACGACCCGTGAAGGCAACTCCTAGGATCTGCAAGCATGGCAATCAGAGCCCAGGCGCTCTGCTTGGTGAGGCAGCAGTGTATGTGCTTCTAGGGCCTTTAGAACTAGCTCCTGGAGTGGAATGCATAATGGGACTCTAACCGAGTGAAATCTGTCAACCAGAAAGATAAGGAGTGCATCTATGGGACAATGAGGGGATCCAGGTTATAGGCCCGAGTCGGATTAAACGATTAAAAAAGAGGGGGTTGGGGTGAATAGCATGTGTGATGATGCCACACTAAATTTGCCACAAAAGGGAACACATTTTGACGAGTGGAATGTAGAGAAGTGAGAAGTTGTGATAGGGCAGCAGTGGGATTAGAGGGTAAAGAGTAGATAGATAGGCC